CTTGATGATTAGTTAATGTCAGATTTGATAACCATGACATTGTGATGAGTTTGTTACCACTTTAAAGGTCCTAATTTCATCCTTATCAACTTGTATGAGGCTATTACATCCAAGACTATTCTAAATCTTACATCACAAACACACAATGGAAGAGAGGCTGCTGTTTGGAGGAATTACAAAATTATTCCTTATATCGTCAGCACTGCCACTACGATGGAACACAAACTTGAGAGGTTTTCTGTGTGATATCATTTCTAAAGTTCCCTACATTCTTGTGATTCATCTACATGCAAATTCTAATATGAGGTTAGCATTACAGTGTCACTTACAATTACACTCTACTACAATGACCTTGTAAAGGCTCAGTTCTTTCCATGTAGCCTTCACAAGCAGTTATTATGGTTTGCTTATGTTCTGATGTTGCTGAGAGGATGCTACAGCTGAGACCATGAAAATATGCTGATGAGACTTTTACCCACCCATTTTTTCAATGTGAAATTGTAATGAAGTTTTGGTTGGATTTAAATGCTTATATTTTTGTAATACTAAAGTGTCCCATTGTTTGACTTTAAAAGATATAATATGTTATTATGACAATAAGAGAGAAAAATCTCTTAACTATGTTGGTAAAGTTTTTATTTTATTTGGAAAATTCTTTATTCATACAGAGGAATTTTTAAATTCACAACTCTCTCTCCCCCTTTTCTTGATGGAATTTAGCCTTGTCCTTTATAAACAATAATGAATATTATAAGAATATTTTCAACGAAACCCCTTGAAATTGACTATTTTATGTTTTTGTAATGGTATTTATTTATTTTTTATTCATTTATTTTGGAAGTATAAATACATCAATGTATTCAGATGTGCATTTAATGTTTTAATTATAATTTCTTGTATACTTTTCAGAATCCTTGTTGTTATCAGCTCTCATATCGATGTGTATGTGTACTTTTTGTACTTGACATATTTTGTACAATTTGTTCATTAATAAAGTTGAAAAAAAAAACATGAAAATGTTATGACAAAAATATGAATGTGTGTGGATTTACATGAACGAACACTGTAGTTCCTCCTTCCACTGCCATTTTCACAAATAATGTGTGCTTCCACCTTAAAAGTTCAGTGCTGCTTCTCAGTTGCCATTTACTTGGAAATGTCAGCTGTAAATTAAGCACACAGAATCAACAGTGACAAAGTTTCACAGAGCAACTATGATGCCCTAGTTAAAGATTGATACAACAATAGCTGCAACAATGTGTGTTTAGGCTTACCCACAGACCACAGCATTTCTTCCACCGCATGCTTAGTTTGCTAGCAGCACAAGGCCTTTGTTTTTTGACATTGACAGAGCTATTACAGCGTGTGGGTCCCCTGGGATTGTGGCGTTTCCATGAGGCTGGAAAAGTTTATTAAACCCATATAAAACAATGTAAACAGACCAACAGTTGAAACAGTGGCGTAATTAAGAGCACACACTGCAATGCCTGTCTAACAGGGAGCCTTGTCTCTAAGGATTTAACCTACAGCCGGATAATCCCCTGCAGACACAAAAGGGATGACTGGGTCAGGCAG